AAGATTTTGATTTGTATATGTGAGCGAGTGTGTGAGTTTCTCGTGCGTGCGAGCACACGTGTAATCGTAGTAATAAACTCGTGCAAAAGCAACAAAAAAAAAAAAAAAAAAAAAATTAAACGAAAAAGCAGAGAATAAAAGAAACGAACTCTGTGAGAATTGATTGTGAAATCAAAAAAGAAAAAAAAAAAAAAAAAAAAAAAAAATGAGGACGTGGTTAAGGCCGCCGCATACCTCATTGGGACTTGTTTGGCGCCGAAGACTGGTTGTAATTAATTATAACGGCTCGATCCGTTCTTCTTCGGTACAAAAAAAATAACTTTCGAAGGGGGATGAATCTTTTTATTTATTTTGTTTTTTCGGTTTACCTCCCCTGCGTTCCCTCCCCTTCGTCTCCCCTCCTTTTTTTTAATTGTAATTGTTTTTAAAAAATTTGATTTCTTTTCTTTTTCCTTCGTTACATAATTATTTTTTTTTTTAAGTTTGAAATGAGTGTTGTAGGTTGGTAGGTAGTTGGTTGGTTGGTTGGTTGGCTGGTTGGTTGGTTGGTTGGTAGGTTGGTAGGTTGGTAGGTAGGTACATAAGTTTGCGTACGAAGAAATATTCTTCCTCGGATGCATTCTATGCGTTTGAAAATAAATTAATTTCACGGACAGACGCCACGTTGGAAATATTTTCGGCAAAAAAATTTTCTTTCTTTAAATGATTCGTCGTCGCGAGAGTGAGAGAGAGAGAGAGAGAGAAATATATATGTTAAAACATTGAATGAATTGATTTGATTTTATAATTTTTTTTTTCGGGAACTTGAGGTTAAAAAGAGAGAGATGAGAGAAGAAGGTGAAGATTGATTTTGGCTCTGGGAGATGTTTCGTTTTTGGCAAAAACAATGATGAAATTTTTTTTCCGTTTGCAAAAGGCATTGATCTGAAACTATAGAAAGAGAAAGAGAGAGAGAGAGAGAGAAGACTTGTGAATCACATTAAATGATTCATTTAGGTACAATGAATCATTTATTGTGTTTGAAAAAAAAAGAAAAACATTCCACGATACTAAGCAATGATTTGTCATAACAAAAGTAGATCATTTAAAACAAAAAAAAAAAAAAAGGGGGAATCTCTCGAACGTACCTTAGGTTTAGGAAAAGGGAAGGTAAAAAGAAGGTATCATCATCACGTGATGATAACAGTAAGAAGAAAATTGTTGCAAAATTTTAACTCGGTTATTTTTCCGTTTTAATTTTTTTTTTTTTTGTATTTCGCAAGATTTTTTTTTTTTTTAATAATAATAATAATAATACGTAGAAAAAAGAAAAGAAAAAAAAAACGTTTGGGCGTGAGTTAAGATGATTGGAATGCCAGAAAATGCAACAGAGCAGAAGAGAAGAGAGGAAAGAAAAAAAAAATCTTGTATTCAACACGCTACGCATCGGCTAATATCGTTTTTTTTTTTTTTTTTTTTTTAAGTTGGCATTTTTAGCAATGCAATTTAAAAAACTTTATTAATTTTCTCAAATATAGTTTTTTCCTTTTTTCCTTTTTCCTTTTTTTTTTTTTTTGTTTAATTATGCATGTGCAAAAACATACGTTGCAGCTGTTTGTTCGTTCGTTTGTTTGTTTGTTAGTTGGTTTGTTTTCTTTTTATTTATTTTGTTTTGAGATTGAGAGAAAATTTATTGAGTTGCAGTTTTGTTTGTAAAAAGAAGTTTCAAAAAAAAACCGAATCTTTTTTAATTTTTTTTTTTACTGGAGAAAAGAGAGAGAGAGAGAGGGGGTGGTGGTGGTGGTGGTAGTGGAAGAAGTGTTTCGTTATTATTTGGAATTTCCTTTCCTCCCCCCTTCCCCTACCTCCTTTCTCTTTTCTCTCTCTCTTTTCCCTACCGTTTAATTTCTTCGAAATTATTTGTTGAAGGACTCTCTGGAAATTTTTTTTTTTTTTTTGGAATGATTCCATTTTCTACGGCTTCAATTCCATTTAAAAAATTCCTTTGAAGGAGTGGATTTTAAATTTACAAAGGAATGAGATTTTACTACAATGAAAAAAAAAAAATTCTTTTCATCGAAGAATACCAAAAAAATTATCAAGTACCAATTACGATTACGGGTTGTTGTGAAATACCTGAAATCTGAGCAATAAAATTTATCATCATCACTTTTCTTTCGATTCAGGTATACTGAGAATTAAATGAAAAAAAAAAAAAAAAAAAAAAAAAAAAACGTTTTTTGAGAAATTTAAGTAAATTGTATTTATGTATGTATGTGTGTATGTATGCGTGGGCGTGTGTGACGAGTTTGTACGTAATTTTACTAAAAAATTCGATGTGTGCCCCCGAAAATGCTTTCTTTGTCAAATGATCGATTGATTGATTGATTTAAAAAAAGGGAAGTAAAGGACCTGATGATGATGATGATGATGAGGCGATTCGAACCGGGAACGAAGAGGGGAGAGGGGGAAGGGGAAAATTTATAATAATAAATTTTATAAATACGATATCGATTCGAATTTTTAGTATACTTTGACAAAGAAAAAGGAAAAGATGACGACTACTGACCAAAAATATTAAACGTCGTCTAAAAAAACAACAACAACCAGTTGTTTGTTGAGAGAAAATGAATGGACGACAAACAAAAAAGAATTTGAAAAAAAAAAAAAAAAAAAAAAAACTAATCAAACTACAATTTCTTGTTTCTCTCTCTCTTTCTCTCTTTTTCTTTTATAAAAAAATGTAATTAACTTTCCAACAAGATTAATTTTCATTGCGTACATATATATAAAAAATTTGCCGTCGAATATTGTTTTATTATTATTATTATTATTATTATTATTATTATTATTATTATCATTATTATCATTATTATTATTATTGTTTATTGGTCCCCCGCTAAAAAAATTATTTAATAATATTTTATTAATGCGATTAATAATGGTAATTTGACGATGTGCTCAATTGCTTGCTTACTTACTTACTCCTCTCCAGGGGGGGAACTCTTTATTATTATTATTATTATCACGGGCGAATAATTATGCGATGCTACTACGGAGGGGATGGGAAAATTTACAAAAGAAAATGTAGGGAGAAAGAGAGATACGAGTTAAAATTATTTTCCAAAGGAAACTGTCATTTACTGGACCTTGAAAGTGTCCTTTGATCGGTTATCTCTGGAGTACGGAGAACCTAAGATTTATAATTAAAATATTTCTATCTTTCTTTCTTTCATGCTTTATTATCTCTCTCTCTCTCTCTCTCTTTCGTTTAAGGTGTTCAAATCAAAACTATTAACATATTTCTCGAGGTAAATGTTTAATAATTATTTTCACCGCACACGCGGGTGAATATCAAAGTAAATTATCAACTTACTTAATTGAAATAATAATTATTGATTTCGTTGGAAACGTTAGAAAAAGAGGTTGTGTGTCGGCCATATTTGATTGACATTTTACGTTTGTCCCGGGTATAAAATCAAATCGGTTATTCATCTATGGAATGTCGGTAAAAAAGGAGTCACACAAACAAACAAACAAAAACTTGAAGAATTTTTACGTATTATATCATTCGTGTTGTTGTTGTTGTTTTAATACTTTTCCTTTTCTTCGAATTATCATTATCATTATCATTATTATTTTTTTTTTAGCAGTGGCAGTAGTAGCGAAACGTCGTTGAATCATTTAAAAGACAAAGCTTACTTAAATATTGGTTGAAGAGTGAGTGGGTGGGCGATTGATTGACCGTGAATCACATAGTTTTTATTTTAGCACTAGACACTTCCATAAATATTTTCGAGACGGCTAGAAAATGTTTTCCCCCCTTTCCCCCTTCCCCCCCCCTCTCTCTCTCTCTCTTCTGTTTTTTAATTAAAGCCTTCCGGTTTTGTTTTTTAAAAATATTATCTTTATTTTTGTGCGTGTGTGTGTGCGTGTGCGTCATTTTATCCGTGCGGAAATCATTATTTACATCGACATTTAGCTTCGTTTTTTTTTTTTTATTGGGGTGGGGGGGGGTAAAAAAGGATCGGAAAGGACGCGCGAACCTTTCGATTTCGCAAATGAATTATAATAAAGTTATTACTGAAATTTTTTTTTTTTTTTTATTAAATTTATTACGGTCAAGAAAATGTAATAAGTTCAGTAATAAGTTCTCCGCAGGGGCGGTTGTCTAAAGAGTTGACGACGGTAATCATTTCAAGGTTTTTCATTTGACCGTAATACTAATAATAATAATAATAATAATGAAAACTTGCAAAATATTTATAAAACCATTTAAAATTACCGGTTTTTTGTTGTTGTTGTTGTTGTTGTCGGGGGGAGGAGAAGAGAGAGATAGGAGGAGAAGAGGGAGGAGAGAGGGATTCGCATTTACGCTTTTCCAAAAGAAAAATTTTTTAAAGGGAATTTTTTTATTATTATTAATGTCGTGCCAAAAGTTTTGCCTTTTTTTTCTGAATCATTTGCTTGTATCCCCTCGTTCGATTTATTATTATTATTATTATTATTATAACTATTTCTCTTTGAATTTTATTGGCCGTTAAAATTAGGCGTCGTAATAACGAAAATTTTATTTCTTAAAAAAAAAAAAAAAAAAAAATTGTTATTTCGATACCAATAACAACTAACTTATGTTAGTTTACGACTTTTAAAATTATTCAAAAAATAATAATAGTAATAATAATAATGATGATGATGATGATGATGATTATATATTTTTAAAGTATTTTAAAATGTTTTATAATTTTATATATATTTGTGGATAGATAGAATTTTTAAACATATCGAGTCAGTCTTATGTTTTTAAAATGGCGACCTCATAGAAAATTAATTAAATTTAATTGATTTAAATATGCTAATCGAAAATGCACTAAAAATGATTTAATTATTAATAGGAAAATCGAGCGCTGAAGAAATTTGATCCTGGGAGTTCTTTGGAACTTTTAGCGAAGCAAAATGATGCAACCAATGGGTTGACGAAAAGCTCATCTGCCGGGTTGCCGTCTCTCAACACAATTTTAATGAGAAAACCCAGTTTGGAGAGAGAGCTATGTCTTCACCGGGGAAGTCCTGCTTTAGACAGCGGCGCCGGAAGCTCGAGATCGGACTCTCCGCACACTCAACTGAGTCGACAATATTCTCCCAGTAGTTTTTCCGAACCGCCGCCTCCTCCTCCTCCCAGATGCAGTTCCACGCCGCCGCCGCCTCCTCCTCCTCACGCTCCTTACTCGAATGCCATTACAAATATGCAACATCTTTTCAAGAGGATGTCTCCTGCTCCCGTGGTCACGCCGAGACCGCCAGCTGCACTTCCTGGATCCGCTGGTTCGGGTCCTAATCCTCCTCAAAGAGGAACTAGTCCTGTCGCATCATCAACAGGTAAACTTAAAAACTTGAACTTTTCTAATTATTATTATTTTTTTTTATTATATTACATAAAATTTATTCATACTCATTTTTTCAGGTTCGACAACTTGTTCTGGTCGGCAGCCAATGGTCGTGCAGAATGGACCTCAAGTTCAGCAACAATTAACTCAACAAATGCAAGCCCTTAGTTTATTTCAAAGTTCTGCCCCCGTAGAACCGCCACCGCCTTATCCTTTAGGTAGTTCATCTCCTGGGCCATTACCACCTCCCTATCCATCGTCTATTCAGGTACTTTTGACACGAAAAAAAAAAAAAAAAATTTTTTTTTTTTTTTTATTCTTTTATTTTTTGTTTTAAACTAAAATTTTTTTTTTTTTTGTTGTTGTTTTAGAGCCGACAAAGTCCGACTCAAGATTATAGAAAAAGTCCGTCTTCAGGCATTTATTCAAACCCGAATTCGATTGGTTCTCCTAGTCCAATAACTGTATCGGCATCAGTTACTCCTACAAGCAGCACGGTCGGTGTTGCTCGTCCTACTCCCCTACAAGCTTGGGGAGCACGACAAGCTAAAACTCAGCCGCCATTTATAATGCAAAGTGTTAAAAGTACACAAGTACAGAAACCCGTTTTGCAAACTGCTATAGCGCCAACCGCTCCGCAGCCAGCATCTCACGGAGTAGCTATACCTCCTCCTTCTTATGCATCTTCTATTCAACAGAAGCAGCAAACTCAGGTATTATTTATGACCTAGTAAAATTCTAAATTTAAATCTCAAACATTTTTTTTAAGTTGGCTTATTTCTAATTTTTAAATGTTTTTATTTAGATGCCATATTCTTTGGCACCGAGCAAACAAGTCGCCCCTGTTGGTTCCTCTTCTCCCAAACAACCTCCTGCATCTCCAGTTACTACAACAGCGAGTCCGATCTCAGTACCGACAACGGAACCTCCAAGCTACGCAAGCACTATGCAAGCACTTGCAATGCAAAAGGGAATGGTCGTACCCTCAGCCCAGCACATACATCATCCATTACCTCCGCCACCTTATTCAGGAGAAGATGTCTGTCGTACAAGTTCTGGACCCGGTGTAAGTATTTATTTCAAATAAAAAATCTGTATCGTTTAACATGTTATTTTTCATCATGCATTAAAAATTGTCTTTTTCCACAGGTTTTATCTGTAACTCAAGTTTCTGTTGTTGACGGGCCGTCACGTTCGCTGGCGGCGTCTGCACATCATCCACCCCTCTCTAGAAAATTTTCACCAATCATGCCTGGCGAGCCTAGGTCAGACAGTCCACTATCTGTGTCTTCGACAGAAAGTGGGCGGGCTCCATTAACGGCTTATACGTCTAATGATAATAGTATTGGTATACCAACTGCCGCACAACTCCCTTCAATTATTACTAGCAAATCTAGCAGCAAAAATAGTAATAGTAATATGATAAACAATAATTGTAACAATAACAACAATAATAGTAATAATAATAATAATAATAGTAATAATAATAATTTAAACAATAATTGTGGTAATAATAATATCAACAACAACAACAACAACAATAATGGCAATCCAACAAACGCCATTGGAAATTCTGGAACGACTCTAACGTCCACAAACGGAAATAATAATAATAATTGTAATAATAATAATAATAATAATAATAATAATAACAACAACAATTGTAACGGCGGCAATGGAAATTGCATTAATAATATAAATAATAATAGTAATAATGGAAATCACTGCAACAATAATAACAACAGCAACAATAATAGCAACAGTTACAATAATTTGAACAGCAATACGGGAATGCAAAACGGAAACAGCAACACAAACGACAGACGGCCATCCCCCACGTCTGCGTATAAAGTCAATCATCAATCTCCCATACCTGAAAGAAAGCAGATAAGCAAAGAAAAAGAAGAGGAAAGACGAGATTGCAAAGTTCGAAATTATTCACCGCAGGTAAGTTTTACCGAAACAATTTTGAATTTTAAATTCGAAAAGAAAAGAAGAATTTTCCAAACGAAATGATCGATATTTACAGGCGTATAAATTTTTTATGGAGCAACACGTGGAAAACGTAATCAAAAACTACAAGCAAAGACAATTTCGACGAGTTCAATTGGAAAGCGAAATGAACAAAATCGGTCTCAATCCGGAGTGTCAATCACAAATGCGGAAAATGCTCTCTCAAAAGGAATCCAATTACATTCGGTTGAAGCGAGCCAAAATGGATAAGTCGATGTTCAAAAAGATGAAAACCATCGGGGTGGGAGCTTTCGGAGAAGTCGCACTCGTTTGCAAAACGGATGCCAATCATTTGTACGCCATGAAAACGTTGAGAAAAGCCGACGTTCTCAAGAGGAATCAAGTGGCTCACGTCAAAGCTGAAAGAGACATACTTGCAGAAGCCGATAACGAATGGGTCGTTAAATTGTATTATTCGTTTCAGGTACGTGTTTTCTCTCCGGTCGGTTAATATCTAGGTTACGAGACCACAGGTACAGGTATCGAAATAATTTTTTTTTTTTTTTTGGCAGGATAAAGACAATTTGTATTTCGTTATGGATTACATACCGGGAGGAGATCTCATGTCGTTATTAATCAAATTGGGAGTTTTCCAAGAGAGTCTCGCTCGTTTTTACATAGCCGAACTCACTTGCGCCATAGAGAGCGTTCACAAAATGGGATTCATTCATAGAGATATAAAACCGGATAATATACTAATCGATAAAGATGGTCACATCAAATTAACGGATTTCGGTTTGTGTACGGGATTCAGGTGGACTCACAATTCGAAATATTATCAAAGAAATGGTGACTTTTTTTTTTTTTTTTTTATACATCAAAGGTGATGGATGATTGCGTCGGAAAATGTAATTTGAAATTGTTTTTTTTTTTTGTTTTGCGCCTATTAGGAGAACATGCGCGACAGGATTCAATGGATCCAAGCGAAGACTGGAACAACGAATGTAGGTGTCGACAATTGAAACCTCTGGAGCGACGAAGGAAACGAGAGCATCAAAGATGTTTGGCACATTCTCTCGTTGGAACTCCAAATTACATCGCACCGGAAGTTTTGCTGAGAACAGGGTATACGCAGCTTTGCGATTGGTGGAGCGTTGGCGTTATCTTATACGAAATGGTCGTCGGGTCTCCTCCATTTTTGGCCAACACTCCTGCCGAAACGCAGTACAAGGTACGTACGAACAAAAAAAATTTTTTTTTTGTGTGTGTTTTCCAGAAAGGTACTTGATTTAATTTTTGTTGTTGTTGTGAAAATGTTTTCAGGTGATCAATTGGGAAAAAACGTTAAACATACCAAAAGATGCCAATTTGTCGCCGGAAAGTACGGACTTGATATTGAAATTGTGTTGCGGAGATGATAAAAGACTCGGTAAAAACGCTAGTGAAGTGAAAGCTCATCCTTTTTTCAAATCCATCGATTTTGAAAAAGGTTTAAGGACACAAACCGCGCCTTATTTGCCTCGTATACAAAACCCTATGGACACGTCAAATTTCGATCCCGTCGATCCGGACAAGTTGAGACAATCGGGATCGTCGGATTCGACAAAATCGGACGAATTGTTCGACAACGGAAATCCATTTCACGGTTTTTTCGAATTCACGTTCAGGAGATTTTTCGACGACGGAGGAGGACCGGCTGCTCCTTTCAGAATAAGTTTGGACGACAACGATAATCAAGGACCGGTATACGTATGAATGAATGATTGAATGAATGAATCAATGATTGATTGAATGTTTTGTTGATTTTAAATTATTTCACGATCGATATGTGTATGTATATATATTTACACACACGCATACATATTTTCGTTTTTTTTTTAATTTATATAAACGTCCGATTTTCCGCGGGCTAGTCATTCATTCACATGAATTTTTATCATCATTAATTGCCGAGACAAAAAGAGGAAAATAATAATAATAATAATAATAATAAAACGAGGTGTTTTTTTTTTTTTACAATTTCTGTGCGGTCGTGGTGTGTGTGTCGTATAATAATTTTCAAAGTATTTCGAAACAAGATTTTTATTTTTTTAAATTTAATCATTGTTTTTTTTTGGGGGGGGAGGGGGGAAAGGTTCAATGAAAAGTCATCCGGAAAAGTTTGACGGCATCGGGAAGGGAAAAGAAAAAAAATGTACGCGAGTGATAATCAATCGGAAAAATTTTATACAATCGTCGTTTATTATATTTTATTGTTTCTAAAAAAAAAAAAAAAATTATTAATGGGAGTGCAATATACGCTTCTCTCTCTCTCTCTCACATATAATTAAATACGCAGGAGAAGGGGGAGGGAGAGAGAGGGTGTGTTTTTTCATAACGGACAAAAAAAAAGTCAAAAAAATTTAAACAAACACACACAGACAGACACAGATACAAATGAGAAAATGATGATATTTATAAATGATTGGAATTCTTACTTGTCGTTGTTGTCCCCCTCCCTCCCCTCGGGAAATATGAAAAATAAATAATAATAATATTTATTGTGATATATAATTATTTTTGTATATTTTTTTTTATTTTTTTTTTTCTCTAAAAATTTTTAGATTTTTGTAATTTTTCTTTATTATTATTATCATTATTATTATTATTATTATTGTTATCATAATCGTAATTATAATCATCATCATCGTTATATTATAATTAGATTAGAAAATAAATAGAAAAAATTTTAAAAATTAAAAAATAATTTATTTTCATGACAATTTTCTCGCGATTTTACTTTTATTATTATTATTATTATTATTTACATATATGTACATAATGATGAGTGGTGCGTGCATGTAAAAATGAGTTGTCAATATAAAAAAAATAAAACGTGTGTGCGTGCGCGCGTGATAAAACGTGAATGATATGAATATACGTCAATTAAATCAAATCAAATTTTTTTTCACATAGGATTCGTTCATGTTTTATTTATTATTAATTATTATTATTATTATTATTATTATTATTATTATTATTATTATTATTATCATTATTATCATTATTATCATTATTATTATTATTATCAATAAATTTGTTTTTTGTGAATGCAAATTAATATTAAATTTAATAAATGATGCAAATGTTTTTTTTTTTTTAGTTTACAAAGCTCAATATTATATTTATGGCTCAAATCGGTTTATATTTACACGAAAGATTTATAATAATAATATTGAAAACGAAGGGGAGGGGGGAAGCGGGGGGAGGGAGAGGGCGGAGGTGGGCGGAGGGAGGGAAAGAAAAATTCATTTCCACGTTTGTTAAACGAGGCGGATTAGGTTTTTCTTAAATTTTTTTTCATAAATATTTTTAAATATCGTTAAATGTTTTTAATTTATTATTATTATTATTATCACAATCCCAATCATCGTCATCATCATCATTATTATTTTTTATAATATAATAAATAAATAAATAAATTTTTTATAAATTAATATTTGTGAGAGTATTTAATAATAATAATAATAATTTAAGAAAATGAGAAAAAAAAATTGTGCCTTATTTTATATATTATATTATATTTATATTTATATTATTATTATTATTACGAAAATAATATGCCAAAATATATTTGTATATAATTAAATTAGGTTTTTTATGATGAATTAGTGTTCAAATGTTTTTAATTATTTGTTTGTTTGTTTGTTTGTCGGTTGTTGTTGTTGCTGCTGCTGCTGCCCTTATTATTATTATTATTATTACCGTTCGTTAATAAATTGGGAGTAGTATTGAGTGTAATTTTTTTTTTCCTGAAATTTATCATCATTATTGATGTTTTGTTGAATGAATAGAAATAATGATATTATTAACGACAATAATAATAATAATAATAATAATAATAGTGACAACAGGAGGAACAATGATGATAATAATAATAGTATTTATAACAATAACAACAAAATTATTTAATAACGAATAAATTTCTTTTCTTTTTTATTATTATTATTATTATTATTAAAATATTTTTGATTCATTCAATAAATAAATAAATAAAAGTGCTTTAAAAGAATAATTTGATTGATCATAATAATAATAATAATAATAATGATGATGATAAAATTCGGTTTTTTTAATAACAAAACTTTTATAATTAGTAAGTAAAAAGAAAAATCAACGAATTTGAAAAAAAAAGATTTATTATTATTATTATTATTATCATTATCATTATTGTTATTATTATCATTATTATTATTATTATTACTATTATTATTATTATACTCTTATGTGATAGTTTGTTTAATTTTTTCTACGAAATTGTGTCTCTCAATTGATGAAAAAAAAAAAAAAAAAAATTTTTTTATGAAAAAGGCTGTGTCCTGTTGTTGTTGTTGTTGTCCTTCTTCTTCTTATTATTATGTAAAATAAAAAATAAATAAATAAATAAATAATTATTTGTATCATCAACTTTAAAAATAAAATCATCAACGCCGACTGCTTTAAATTGAGTAATAATAATAATAGTAATAATAATAATAATAATTTTTTAAATGATAGTAATTATATGAAATTTATATTAAAAAAAAAAATTATACATATATATATATATAAGTGTGTTTGTTTGTGGGTGTGTGCGTGTGCGTGTAGGTATATATACACGTGTTAATATTATTATTATTATTATTATTATTATTGAAATATTGTATACGTTTCCGTGAGTTTTTATTATTATTTTTATTATTAAATTATTATTTTCAATGTTTTTTTATATTATCGATGCAAATGTGAGTGGGTAGTCATTTAATAATAATAATAATTAGTTTTTTTTTTTTAATTACTTGTTTGTTGTGTCAATCAAGGTTTTAAAAAAAAAGTATAATAAAGAAAAAGTAGTTTAAAATTATTATTATTATCATTGTAAAATATATAATTAAAAATAAAATAAAAAAAAATAAAAAAGTATGCCTTATTGTTATTAATAAATAAATAAATAAATAAAAGGGGGAAATAGAAGAAAAACTTTTCATATCAATGGATGGATTGAATCATTATTATTATTTTTTATAATTTTTATTTTTTTGTTTGTTTGTTGACGTTTACACCGCCTCGTTTATCATTATTATCATTCAGTTATATATATATATATATATATATATATATATATATATATATATATATATATATATATATATTTTTTATAAGAAGGAAAAAAAATGATTGATTGATAATAGAAATATATTTTTATGACATGGGGGGGGGGGGGGGGGGGGGGTGTGTGTTATTGCATCGACTGAATTTAAAATCGCTTTTATTATTATTATTTTTTTGAATGCTTTTTTTAAATTTGTTTTTTTTATTATTGATTAATGTAAAAAAAAAAAAAAAAAATTATATATATATATATACATAAATATAAATATATGTAATGTTTTTTTTTTAAATAAAAAATTTGGCAACATGGCCGTGATGTGTAGATAATTTGTAATTAAAAAAAAATGAATAAAAAATTATTAAAAAAAGTTAAAAAAATTAAAATAAATCAAATGTTGTGAACAAAAAAAAAAAGAAAAAAGAAAACTTGAATATGCTTATATTTAATTTTCATAAAACTAACTTTTTTTTTGTAAAAAAAAAAAAAAAAAAAACAAAATGGCAGAATTTATTATTTTATTTTTATTTTTTTTTTATTTTTTTGCCTTAAATTGTTGTTAATATTGATTTTACAAAGTTGTATAATTTTTTTTTTTTTTTTTCTTATTCATTTAAATGTGATTTTTTTTGTTTGTAAAATCTCGTAAAAGAAAATAAACTAATTTTCTCTCTTTAATTTAATCGTAATTTTATTTTGTTTACATTTTGTTTATTCATTTCGCGCCGAAATTTTAATCTAATTACACTTTTTTTCTAGAACATTCCTTTTCTGTCCGTTACTTTTCAAATTGATGTGGAAACGTTAAGACGCATTAATGTATTGTTCAAAAAAATTTTTTTCAAGTGATTAAGAAGGTTTTTGGTAAGTTTTTAATAATTTATTCTTTTTTTTAAACTTTTAAACATTATTTTATTTTATTTTATTATATATTTATAATAAAATTTCATCATAAATTTGATTTTATGGAACAATTATACCAAGTCGTAAGTAGAAGAGTTAAAAAAGTTTTCTATATCTTTTTACATCGTATAAAATAATCATTTTAAAATGTAGAAAGGGTGGAGAGGGGGAGGGGGAGGAAACATTTAGTAACAAAATTCGATAATTAAAAAAAAATTTATTTAAAATAAAAACTATTTAACAATCTCGTACATTTATAATATGGCGGAAGAAAATTTTATTGGTGTGAAAAACTCAAATGATGATCACTCTTTACAAAATCATAAAGTTCTTTTCTTTTGATTTCATTTGAGGTTTTTCAACAACCCAAACATGATCCTCTGGAAGGTTACAATTTACTTTGCTTTGAAAAGGTAATAAACCTATGGGACATTTACTCCATATTTGAGTACCTGAAATACCAGTAAAAAAAAATTTAACAATGAATTACTTTCAATCGAATTATTTCAATTGATAAATTTACAACTTGATAATCACCTATTTTACTTTTACACCAATCTCCTTCATATTCATCGTTAAAATTATCAATTAACCTGTGATCACTTTCATTGTTCCCGGATAATAATTTCAAATCACTCAAATTAAAAATTTTATCATTTTTTTCACCGTCAACATTTTTCATCAATTTTAAATTATTAAATGCAATTAAATTTTTTATTAGGGTAACTGTCGATTGAGGCAATGAAGGTTTTATGAATTTCATGTAAAGAATAATTTTATTCAAACAGTGAGTATTCGGATTTAATAAAACTCCTTCAAACATTTTTAAATTAATCACTGGCGGTTTTTTAATTTTAAATGCTATTATATTTTTCCCCTTGATTTTCCCTTTTTGATCACTTCTTAAACTTTTCAATTCTTCTTTTATTTCATCAGTCGATGCATTTTTATTTTCACACCGAAAAACTTTAAATATGGCCCATTTTTTTTCGAGTAATTCCAACGATGGATACAATATCATGAGCCATTTTGATGCTTCTATATTATCATTTGCAGCCATTTTCATTAGGTTTTCAATGAGGGAATCAAGTAAAGAAGCACTTTGAATTAATATTAAAACTTTTTGCCATTTTGAAACATTTATACATTTATCTGCGAAAAAAAAAAATTATGATTTTATCGATTCGATTCAGAAATAAAAAACTTGTGGAGACAAATTTGTATGTAAGTGCATGTGACAAACCTTGTAAAAATGATGATTCCATCAAAGCTGGAATAAAATATTGTTTGTACTGTGTCTGCCTTAAAATTTCTAACATAAATTTAAATAATGTTCCTCCAAATTTCATCGTTTTAATAATTTTAAAATTTGATTCGAAATTATTTTTTTCGGAACTTATGTGATTAAACACATTATTAAAAACCTCATGGTGATTTATTCGAGAATGAATTTCTTCCAGCGACAATTCTTTAATTTGTGTTAAAAATGTTTCTAAATTATATCTGCAAAGGTATTTATAATCAAAATTATTTAAGTTAAAACATTTATGATTGAGTCGCTCGAAACACTCACCTAAATTTTTTACTTATTTCATTTTCTTTAAAAAAATGTTTTTTTTTCGACCAGCTGAGTATTAACATTTCGATTGTGTTTTGAAAAAAATTAATAGCATTTCTTTTATCATGGTCAGTAATATTTAAATTTAAATCACAATTTGTCATCATATTTTTATTAAGAACGTTATTTTTCATCCAGTAATTTTTCTGTAAATCGAATGTTTAAAATTAATTCATTAACAAACAATAAAGAATTTTTAATTTCATGTAAGATACCAACGATTAGCCACTGGAATGAGATTTTAATTGCTGCATGTAATGCATCTAAAGATGGTAAATTTTGAAGATGTGCAGCTTCATGCCTGATGTTAACAATCCAATCTGGTATGTTTTGAAGTTTTGCAGACGAATACAATGTTTTATCATGTTTATGAGCAACAAGATTGGATACGTGATTAACAAAACGTATTAAAGCTGTGGAATAAGACAATTGCAAATCGTGTTCATCGCTTGTAGGTATTAATCCATCATTATTATTATTAAGTTTATATTCTTTAAGTGCAACTTGAAGAATGCAAAGAGTTGATTCGACATAGGTTGGCAAAAAAGAATATTTTAATTTCCACATTAGAATTAAATCGTAAGCACGATTCAAATGATTTATCTCTCCTGACAATAGATAATCTCTTACTGTATTCCATTCTGAACTAAAAAAAAAAAAAAAAAAAAAATTTAAATTCACAGTTGTTACTGAACAAGATACTACAAATTACAAAAAAAATTTATGTATACATAAAAACTTACATATCGGGCCAGGGAACATAAAAATTTTGTTGTTTTTTTTTAATTATCATTTTTAAAATTTTTCTTTTTTATCCCTTAAAAAATATAGTAAAGAGAGTTTACTATATGTAATTTACATTTACTATATTGAATGAAACAAAAGCACATGGTTTGATCAGTGCTGCCATCATTGACGAACAAATTGCTTTTAACGGTTGTTAAAAAACTTTTTTTTTTTTTGCCCAATAAATTCTATTTTAAATACCAATTAAAATAAATATTATTATTTTTAGGTACTCAAATATTAACAAATTAAATATTGTGATAATAATTTTATAAAAAAAGGATTATGTAAAATTATTTAAAATGAAAGATTTTGTGCAAGCCACCATAAAAAAAAAAAAAAAAAAATTTAATTTTCACAATAAGAAATAAAAAATTATTCAGTCAGGAAGTTTTTCAAAGGTATGTTTATATATATATATATTTATTATATTAAAAATAAATATAAGAAATATACAGAATAAAAAATAAATTAGAGTTTTTTTTTTTTTTGTTTAATAAATCTTATATTTATTTATTTATTTTTTTTGATTGCAAACATTTAACATTGATATAAACATTTTAAACTTTGAATGTGACTAGGTTCTTAAATTAATTTCTGTCGCATACCTTAGTACAATAGAATAAAATTTTTTAATAATAATAATAATAATAATAATAATAATAATCGTCGAAAATAATAATTTAAAAAAAAATATATAACTTATCACTTATCAAAAAACAAAAAATAAATAAATAAATAAATAAATAAACTTCTAAATCAGTTACAAAAAAATAATTTTAATAATAATATTAATTCATTTTATAAGTACCTGTTTTGTGACCAACTTAAAAAAAAAAAAAAAAAAAAAACTTTTACTCATTAATACACATAAATGTCTTAAGTTTATTTATTTATTTATTTATTTTTTTTTTTGATATAAAAATACATAAAAAATAATTTTTCGAAAATTGATTGATTGTGATTATGATAACAAGATTTTAAATATGAAAGTAGAATTAAATAAAATTTTATTTTTTTTATTAAAAAATAACGAATTTTTTATTTTAAAATATATATTTAATCACAATAAGAAAATTTATTTTTAAATAATTTAAATTAATTTAAAATAATAATAATGATATTAAATGAAATAATTTAAATTTAAGTTTTAATAATATGAAGAATTAATAACGTTCAACGTTTTTTTTTATTAAATATATATTTTTTTCAGATTGAATCACATCGATTAAAAATTTATTATTATTA